CTTTATTTTGGTTCCGTAGTCGGACCTTGATTGTACTCTGGATGATGTATGTTTACTTGTTATTTGTGTGAAGTGGCGATTGTAAGCCAACTCTTTATCCCTTTCTTATTCAGTACATGGGATTGTGTGAAGATTACCCCTCTTGCGACTAAACCACCATGCGGTTATTCCTCTAAGTCGTGCCTCGACACGTGGGAGATATAGCCGCATCATGGGTGTTTCAAGTTGGTAATCAAAGCCATCCCCGACTTAGGAACCCCCTGCTTGATTGAATCGCTGACGTTGTTGAGTTTAGAACAATTTTTTTGAGTCCTAGGATTATATATATATCAGAGAGTAGGATTCTTTTGACTCCTCAGTCCCTTCGTCGCTCTGGTGAGGTCTCCTGACGTAGATGTTTTGACATTCCTCTCCTCAAAAATCACTAAAAAAAATTTAGGATCACGTGGGTATCTTGGAATCGTTCTGATATTCTTGTGAGGAGAACATAGTTCTTTGTGCCTCCTGACATTTAGGGGTTGTGGCAGTGTCTCAGGGAGTTGAGCTCCGAGGTGTTGTCGTCACAATTTTATCGTTGCAGTTCTGGAATACTTGAGATCGCCGACATCAAAAATCTCTTTTATGCAGTTGTTGGTGAGATAACCTCGACGCCACCCAGTACTAGGGCGGGAGTTCGGGAGTATTTCCATAACTCGTATAACGGATGCTTTTCGAAGGTTGATGTACATGGTTTCCGAAGGTTTCTTGGTTATGTGTTGAAGGATGGATACAGCTGGATGTAGGGATTGTTAGTTTGGGTGAGATATTATGCTTCCCTTGTATCCCCAACACCAGATTGCATAACCGGAATGTTTCGGGAGTTCATAGGTGGGAATTCAAGTATCTCGTAGGATATCTTTCCAACAGACGCATGATACAATATGGGATCTATCATATGTTTGTTTCCGGCTTATTTTGCAAGCCAATCCTTTGTTTTGTTTTGAGTTGTGGTATTCGATTTGCTTCGATGTCAAGTGTTTATTCCATACCTTATTATAAGCGGTGTTCTCATATTTATATGGGAGTGCTAATCCTTCTTATTTATCGAGATTATCATGTCAATTATTTTCAACCGGCATGCTTCTCTTCAAGTTAATCCTATCCTTTCAATATTTGATAGATCAATTCTCAATTCTTTGCGACGATGTTTGTTTCATCCGTCCCAAGTGGCATTTGTTTTACCCGCCCTCCCACCCTTTTATTCAAGGACCCAGATTTCTTAATCAAGTATCCATGTTATGGGTGTGAAGTTTCTTCATTCTTTCCTTCAATGTTTTACCCGGTGGTTATCATGAAGATGGTCAGGACTTTCAAGTTCATCATCCTTCGTTGTTGTTTCTTCTTCGGTGGATTCAATACAAGCTTCCGGTGTTGACCATATCCCTTTCGTCCTTTCATAGGTTTTCTCAGGCCGGTGCCCCCTAATCATTCACCTCTCGCTATTCATTTGTTCTGGCGTACTGAAGATATATCAGAAGATTCATGTTTCCGTTCATTATCCGTTCAAGATATCTCGAGGTTGTTATCTCATTCAAGTCATTTAATTCAACCGGCGCAATCTCTATTTTAAATCGTTCAACGGTGTATCTTTCAGTGGGCCCTAACCCATAGGACTTTTACCAGGATCTTACCTGACTCTTTTAATTTTCCCGGAGTTATTCTTAAATTCATTTAAAAGTTGACGTAAGAATGAATTATAATCAGTCAAATGTCTTTCTCCAAGATCATCCAAATTCTTTTCATTGTTGATTCAGCCTTTATATTCTGCATTATTCCGAAGTGCCTCGACAATTCATGATGGTGTTTCTCGTCATCATTCTCGAACTGTGAAGACTGAAGAAGAGTTTTTCCTCCAAATCTTATCTGTTCTCTCAAAGATTCATGGTTCAAGCTTGATGCCATCCTCTCATAATTGTTTTCAATTGTGAGATTCTTTTCATCCATCCGGAACAATTCAAGAGTCTTTTCAGTTTGATTCTCTGGAGCTCATCATCTCAGATTTATTCGTTCTCAACATTCAGCTCTCATTCCCCAAGTCTACCGGCTGGTGCATAGTTTAAATATCCTCTAATCAGTTCATGATCTCTTCGTTCTCATGTATCTAAATCCCCTCAAGTATCTTATTTCATTTTTCTAATTCTTCCCGGTGTTTCTTTATGTTTTCTTCGTTCATTTTCAATTCTTATGGTGGTTTGTTCAAGATAATATTTCCTTTGTTATCATATCAATTCATTCGTTCTTTCTAATCCTACCGGCGGATCGTTGAAGACCTTTCTCAAGTTTGCGCTATATCTCTCTTAATCCTTTCTACGAGAATAAGTAGTATGCGAAATCCGTTGCTTGTCATCAATTCAAATTGGTGAAGGATATGCATAACATATTTCTTATTCTTATTTCCTCAAGATGAATTAATTCCTTCTTCCGGAGTTAGTTCGCGAGGAAGAAATTCTTGGTTCCAAGTTGTTCACCTTTCATTTCCGGAGTTCCAAGTTTCCGCATTATCTTGTCACGAAGCTCCATCTAAATCATCGCAAGGCTTCACCTTGTGTTATCAACTTCTCTGTCTTTTATCATCCTTATTACCGGAGTTTTTCATGGTGGCTCATCAAGGATTCCTTTCATTCTTCATTCGTTCTTCAAGATTTCTCTCGAATAATGATCCGCCAAGCTATACTCTAAAATAAACGTGGTGTTCAACACATGTTTTGTTTTGAGGAGTTCAAGTATTCTTCATCTTGCATTCTGAAATGCAATTTATTCTACCTTATCTTTAGCGGTGGTGTTATGTCATTCTTGATAATTTTCCTTTGTGTTTCATGATTCACATGTTGTCAAGAATGAGGTATTTTAAATCCATCAATACTTCATTGGAGTTATCTTGGCAAAGATTTCACCTAAAGCCTTCCCTAAGGAATGTTGCTATTGTGGTGCTCCTATTGGTGGAACAAGTTTTCATCTCTTTGTTGAACTCAAGCAAGCAATTGTTTTCGTTAGTGGCAGAAGTTCACCTCAAGTTTTGAGATGTCTCAATAATCCCACGAGGATCATATCTTTTCGTTGTTGGTTTTCCAGCAACTCCGCTCTAACCTTCTTGCAAGGATGCTTTCCAAATTAAATTGTGGTAGAAGTTATCATTCCTTCTCCGTTCTCTTATTCCGACGATCTAGCTTCTATTTGTTCATTCCGGAGGCATCGTGATGTTGCTCTCTTCGACCAATCATATCGTTTTCTCAAGATCATGTTCTTTCCTTGCTTATCCATTTTACAGGAGTGTTGTGTCCTCTGCTCAAGTTCTTTCCATCTTATCAAGTCTTGCATCTCTTTTCAACCGGAGTGTTGTTCGAATTTGTTCTTCCTTGTTCCTTGTTTATCTCGTCTCAACCAGAGTGGTTTCAATTCCTTCTTGTCCTTTGTGCTCGTTATTCATAGCTTTTCAGCCTCCAAGGTTCACATGGTGTTCCTTGTTTCTCTTTTCTACCGGAGTGCTCTCAATTTCGTTCAACTCTGTTGTTTTCTTCTTTCAAGTTCTCAACCTCTCAAGGTTCATTGGTTTCACTCATTTGTCAAGAAGCAACTTAGTTTACCTCTTCTCTTCCTTTTCTGCTTCTCTCCGGTGCCATCCTAGATCTCAGGACGAGATCCTCTCGTACTGGTGGAGTGTTGTGACGCCCCAAGACCAACGCTCCAAAAGCCTTCCATGTTTTTCGTTGTTCGTCATGTGATTTGTTTTGCTTGTTGCATTCATCATTGCATATTTTGCATGGCATCATGTCATCATCCCATCTTTTTCTTAAAGCTAACTAAAACTCAACTAAATAAATTGCATGGATGTTCGGTCCATTTAAACCAAGGGAATTCACACGGTTATTTTATTTATAACATATCCTCCCAATATTAGGGAGCTATAATAAATATTCCATTTGTATGGAATTAACCGGAACACACTTGCAAAATAATTCCCATGCCTATCCCACTTTAAGTTTCACCTCCAAACCTTGGCAACAATTCTTTATCTCTTTTATCGAGGCTCCTCTAAAAATTCGAACATTTATGGACCTTCCTTTTACCAATTCCCAGTTCAAACCCATTTGAACTAAATTCAAATGAGTTTGAATTTATATCTTTCGATCATGCCATTTCTAATTTTATTGGGTCAAACTCATTTTTGTGAGTCCGGGAAAATTGTCCCTGAGTGCAAATTCCTTTCCCTAAACCTCCCTCTTCCTTCTCTCTATTGTTTTCTGTTAAAGAAAATATGAGGGAGAGAGAGAGCACAACTAGCAGCCCAGCCGACCGGGCCTATGGCTGTTTCCCTCTCCGCCGGCCCATCTGCTTAGCCCAGCCACAGGCCCACCTAACCTTAACCCTAGCCCGATCACTCACTCACCTGTCGCTCCCTTCCCCTGTTCCCTCTCGCGCCGCCAGGGACAGAGGGCATGCGCCCGATCCCCATCTCTCTCTCGCAGCCTCTTTCTCCCAGTCCCAGCGCCCTCCTCTCCACCCGATCCCCATGGCCACGACCCTCGCGCCCGCCACCTCGCATCGCCCAATCAACGAGCCACCGCCTTGCGCCGCCACTCCCTACTCTCGATCTCTCCCTCTCCATCGCTCGTGCCGCCACCTGCAGGAAAGGAGAGGAGTGAAACCCCTCATGCCAACCACCCCGCGACCCCATGAGCTCGCCTGCCCACAAGGCCATGGCATCGCCGCCCTGCTGACTCCGGCTAGGACATGCCTCCCCTCCTACCGCGAGACGCTCTCCGTCGCGCCGTCCCTACCTCCCAGAGTCGTCGCCCTGCCCTGCCAGGGACCTCGTCGTGGCTGCCCACGAGGCTCCCGCCACCGGCAACTTTGTTCCTCCACTCCGTCTCTCCTACTGCTTTGTCCCCGCACCACCCTGTGACCCCATCGCCGCTCCGACCGGCGAGTCCAGGCCGCCGAGCTTGCCTCCGCCTCTCCTCTTACTGCTGCTCAGCTTCCTCCGACGCCTTGTCTCGCCTCCTCCCGGTGGCATCGCACGCCCGAAGTCCGGGGCCCCTCAAGCCTCCAGAAGCTCTGCTTCCCTTGCTCCACGCCAAGGCCGACACTGGCCCCACTTCGTCTTGCTGCTGCTCCGCCATTCGACCTCCTCTTGCTGCAGGACCATCCCCATCGTGCACCATCACTGTTTGGTTTCTTCTCTCTCATGGTCGAAGGACAGCAGGTACCAGGACGTCGATGACCCGGCAAGTTCATCTACATGCATGTGCGGCTATCTTCACCAAAGACGTGTGTACGCTTACAGAACGAACCTTGGAGTTACACGAGATACCAAGTACTACAACGACCCCGGAGACTGGATATGCCAAGTTCCTCGGAGATCCACTGATGCCTAGTAACACTCCATGACCGAAACCCAAGTTCCATGGCGACTTTGTACTACTCCCATCTCCGAAGAACCATGTAATAGAACCGTCAAGTTCGGCTATGTCTCGTGTACGACTACGCGGGGTTCCTTGGACACCAAGTTCAACGATGCGTCAACTTCCTCGCCGTGACACCGAACATCTATGGAAACTCATGCAACTATGACCGTGTACCACTACCGTCGAGGACCGATAGTACCACTACTTCCACTACGACTATCCCGACAACGTCTACTTCCTCTACATTGCACTGAACCCGAACCGCCCCGTTTGCATGCTTCGAAGGTATACTGCCAAGACGATGACCCGTGGATGAATGTTTTGTGATGTATGAGATGCACCCTATGTTTGCACTGTGTCCGAATTGTTCCTTCCACGTTCCTCCTCGTTTGCCATGCCGTCGGTCCATGGGAACCCGATGAACGGGATCACCCCACCATCTCTAGCATGTTCTGCACATCCACACTTCCGTTTGCACCGGTATTTCAATGAGATACCTGTACCGATATGTTGTCGTGGCATCAATTCCGGATTCGTTGCCATGACACCCTTTCTTTCCACCACGGTGACAAATGCTTCATAACATGCTCATGTCAACATTTTCATAAAATTTGGATAAAACTTGTTTAGGTCATTTGCATCATGATAACAACATTTAAATGCTTAAAATTGTTGTTTGCTTCAAATTTGCTAAATTGCACATGAGGATTTTCCAGAATTGTTATTTGTTGTTCCAGCCTCATTTAAACTTGCCTAAATAGATTGTTTATTTATGCTTCTCCTCTTTCCATGTAAACCAACATTTAATATTGTTGAGTACCTAAACAAGAGCGAACTAAATAACTTGAATGTGGTGTTCCGTCAATATGCAACTAGTTGCATATTGAGCTCCACTTAACTTGTAGTATTGTTTGTTGCACTTTGCCATGCCATGCATATTTAAACCGGACATGCATCATCCTTGGTTGTGCATCATGCCATGTTTATGCTTGTGTGTTTACCATGTTGGTTGCTTCTTTTCCGTGTGCTTCTCTTGTTAGCTTCGGTTTCGTTCCGGAGTTGTGAGGATTCGTTCGACTACATCTGTTTGTCTTCTTCATGGAAGTTTTTCTTCCTTGCGGGATCTCAGGCAAGATGACCATACCCTCGATATCACTTCTATCTTTGCTTGCTAGTTGTTCGCTCTATCGCTATTTCGTGCTACCTACCACTTGTTATATCAAGTCTCCCATATTGCCATGCCAAGCCTCTAACCCACCTTCCTAGCAAACTGTTGTTTGGCTATGTTACCGCTTTGCTCAGCCCCTCTTATAGCGTTGCTAGTTGCAGGTGAAGATGGAGTTTGTTCCATGTTGGAACATGGATATTGTTGGGATATCACATTATCTCTTATTTAATTGATGCATCTATATACTTGGTAAAGGATGGAAGGCTCGGCCTTTTGCCTAGTGTTTTGTTCGACTCTTGCCGCCCTAGTTTCCGTCATACCGGTGTTATGTTTCTTGATTTTGCATTCCTTATGCGGTTCGGGATATATGGGACCTCCATGACAGGTTGTTTTGAATAAAACTCCTCCAGCAAGGCCCAACCTTGGGTTGACCATTTGCCTACCTACCACCTATACCTTTCCCTTGGGTTCTGCAGACTCAAGGGTCATCTTTATTTTAAAATCCAGGCCAGTGCTCCTGTGAGTTTTGGTCCGAACTAGAGTCCTTTGCAGTGCCACCTCGGGGAAACTTGAGGGCTGGTTTTAGTTGTACGGAGTTCTCATCCGGTGTGCCCTAAGAACGAGATACGTGCGACTCCTATTGGGATTTGTCGGCACATCGGGCGGCTTTCCTGGTCTTGTTTTACCATTGTCGAAATGTCTTGTAACCGGTATTCTGAGACTGATCGGGTCTTTCCGGGAGAAGGAATATCCTTCGTTGACCATGAGAGCTTGTGATGGGCTAAGTTGGGACACCCCTGCAGGGTATAAACTTTCGAGAGCTCTGCCCGCGGTTATGTGGCAGATGGAAATTTGTTAATATCCGGTTGTAGAGAACTTGACACTTCACTTAATTAAAATAAATCAACCGTGTGTGTATCCGTGATGGTCTCTTTTTGACGGAGTCCGGGAAGTGAACACGGTCTTGCGTTATGCTTGAATGTAAGTAGTTGCAGGATCACTTGTTGATCACTTATAGCTTTTCGACCATTGCGTAGCTTCTCATCTTACTCTTATTTGCGTATGTTAGCCAACATATTCTCTTAGCGCTTGCTGCAGCTCTACCTGACTACCTTCTCCTACCCATAAGCTTAAATAGTCTTGATCTCACGGGTGTGGGATTGCTGAGTCCTCGTCACTCACGAATACTTCCGAACATTTGCAGGTGCCGATGATGCTAGAACAGGTGATGCTACCGAACTCAAGTGGGAGTTCAACGAGAACCTTGGCTGTTACTATGTTTCGTTTCCTGATGATCAGTAGTGGAGCCCAGTTGGGACGATTGGGGATCTAGCATTTGGGGTTGTCTTCCTTTATTCTGGTTCCGTAGTCGGACCTTGATTGTACTCTGGATGATGTATGTTTACTTGTCATTACTGTGAAGTGGCGATCGTAAGCCAACTCTTTATCCCTTTCTTATTCAGTACATGGGATTGTGTGAAGATTACCCCTCTTGCGACTAAACCACCATGCGGTTATGCCTCTAAGTTGTGCCTCGACACGTGGGAGATATTGCAACATCGTGGGTGTTTCATGCATGCAGAGAAAACCATCATTGCATGGGATCGTGGAGGCCGGCGGTTGGCCTCCCTTGGCTATAAATGAAGAGAGGGGCAGAGCCCCCTTGCTCATCTCCATCTTCTCGCCGCCTGCTTCTTCTTCCACCTCTCTGCCTTTATGCCTTGCTGTAGTCCCCATGGCACCGACGAGGAAGTTCTTTGCCGCCGAGAAGGGGAAGGTCCCCATGGAGGGACCTGGCTCGCCACCTCCCAAGATATGGCGAGGCCGTCCCCACAAGCACGTCGCAACTCCAGCGGCGGCTCCTCGGGGGAGCGGGTGCGCCTAGGCCGGCTGTGGCGGTGTTTCTTCTCGTGGTGGGAGCCGCCAAGGATGAGGCAGCCCCTGTGACAAGGGGAGGCACGCCATGGTTTCCCGGCCTCCTCGTCCGCGCTTCCACTCGGCCGAGGTGCTCCCGGAGTTCGTCGTGTGGTCGGAGAGGCTAGCCGGTACCTGGCTCCCGCTCCCCCGCTTCTTCACTAGTGAGCTGCTGGCCACGGGGCTTGACGGCCTCTGGCTGCAGGCTGATGCCTGTTGCAGCAAGGCTTCATGGTTCGGGGTCGAAGTTTCTGCCGCCGGGAATGTGTCCTTGGCCCGCGGCTGGCAGGCATTTGCCTGTGCGTGCGGCTTGAGCGAGAGGTGCACCCTCCGCTTAAGGTACGACAGCGTCCCGACCCTCTATGTGAGGGTGTTTGGGGAAGATGCCATCGCGCAGGATGCTACCCCGAAGACGACAGCGGTGACGATGAGCTTGGCCTTGACGACAGCCGTAATGACGCCGAGGGTGAGCTCATCCTTGGCGACGGGCGTGGCTCGTTCAGCGACGGCGGCTCCTCCAGCGAGAGCACAAGCAGTGGCGGCTACGACCAGCCGCCACGTCGTCGGGCTCGCTTTGAGGAAGGTGGCGGATCGTCTTGTCACCACGCTCCGATGAAGCGGGAGGAAGGATCGGGCTGAGCCCGAGGGGCCTCTGGAGCCCAGCCTCGGGAGCTGTTGTGGTCATGAGGGCCACTTTTGTTTAGCCTTTCCTTTATCCTGCATTTTGCAAAAAGTAGAGGACCCTGCGGGGGCGTGTAATGAACCATGGTACTTATGCCACTATGCTATGCTTATTGTTCTGATATATGCAGTGATGTTCATGTCCCGGGTAGGTGCGGTAGGATAACTTAGCTTGATACACTCGCGGTAGCTTCGCACCTTGATACGTCTCCAACGTATCTATAATTTTTGATTGTTCCATGCTATTATATTATCAACCTTGGATGTTTTATATGCATTTATATGCTATTTTATATGATTTTTGGGACTAACCTATTAACCTAGAGCCCAGTGCCAGTTTCTGTTTTTCCCTTATTTTAGGGTTTCGAAGAAAAGGAAAATCAAATGGAGTCCAAACAGAATGAAACCTTCGGAAAAGTTATTTTTGGAAAGAAAGCAATACAGGAGACTTGGAGTGCACGTCAGGGGATCAACGAGGAAGCCACGAGGCAGGGGGCGCACCAACCCCCCTAGGCGCGCCCTCCACCCTTGTGGGCCCCTCGTGGATCCCCTGATGTATTTCTTCCGCCTATATATATATCCATATACCCTAAAAATATCGGGGAGCACAATAGATCGGGAGTTCCGCCGCTAGAAGCCTCCGTAGACACCGAAAGCCAATCTATACCCGTTCTGGCACCTTGCCGGAGGGAGCAATCCCTCTCCGGTGGCCATCTTCATCATCCCGGTGATCTCCATGACGAGAAGGGAGTAGTTCTCCCTCGGGGCTGAGGGTATGTACCAGTAGCTATGTATTTGATCTCTCTCTCTCTCTCTCTCTCTCTCTCTCTCTCTCTCTCTCTCTCTCTCTCGTGTTCTTGATTTGGCACGATCATGATGTATCGTGAGCTTTGCTATTATAGTTGGATCTTATGTTTCTTCTCCCCCTCTACTCTATTGTAATGGATTGAGTTTACCCTTCAAAGTTATCTTATCGGATTGAGTCTTTAAAGAT